CAGGAAGAATGAAGACTGACTGTCTCTCTCTCTCTCTCTCGGAACGTAGATTAATAATTCATCAAACGAGACAAACCCTACTGACTGCCTCTTCCAAGTGCCTCGGTCATGCAGGAGTTAAGTACACAGAAAGCTGCAGAATGCTATTATTTCAGAGCCCTGTGAAAATGTAATTTGATTAGTCTATTGGATGATATTCCAAAGAACCAAATGTCTTCCATGAATCAGTCAGAAATGCTTAGGAAAACCAAAATAAAAAATGCTTTCTAAGCCAATAAAGGTGCTAATTAGTGCCTTCTGCGTATCTCACACCATCTTCCCCAGTAATCCATTCTGCAGGGTTAAGTGCGGTGTCTGCTGCTTCAGATGGCAGGCGGCCACCGAACAGTCGGCGGGGTGGCTGCAGCCTCGAGTCTCTAAAAGGGAATCAGAGCTGGCATTTTCACCCAGGAGGTGGGACGCACTGATAGGGCAGGGCACATGTTTTCTCTGTGCAACTCTCCTCCAAATCAACCCTCGCAAAACTCGGGGAGGGTGGGGCCTTCGGTTCTTTTTTCCTTTCTTCATCCCCCGTGCTTTTAGAAAGTAAAATCTGGTTTTATGCAACTAATAAGGGTGTCTTGGAAGGGGACGTAATTGGAGAAAATATCAAAACTAAGCAACTAGAGAAGAAAGTGAGAAATGAAGAAGGCCCTAGTGAGCAGGCTTTGTGGCGAATGCAGGCACCTCCGTAAGGGTCTCAGCTTCTGCCCAGGGCAAGCCTGGTGCCTGCAGAAGCCGGAGAGAATCCGGGGCAACAGGCACAGTTTGCTTGTTCTTGCTCTGATCCAAGCAGCAGATTCAAATGCTCCCGGGAGCCAGGCAGGTAACCACCAATGAACCGAGCAGGCAGGACAGAGAACAGAATGGCAGAGCACGTAGCCCCCAACAGGCTGCTGCCCCAAGAGGCCTGGGCCTGCATTGCTGGATTTTCTGAGCTTCAAGGAAATTCTAGGAATCCCAATGCCGGTGAGAACTGGGCCACCAGCTCCTGCCACTCAGTTCAAGTTCATTATTGAAAACAGGTGACCTGACCCTGCTAAACCCTGATCAGGCTCCAGGAAGTGTACCTGACAAAGTGGCGAAGGGAAAAAAAATAACAATAAAGCAACAACAGCATTCCCGCACCAGGCCAGGAACGGTAACCTCACGCTTCTCTGCGCGAGACTCTCAGCTGCCAGGTCGGAGTGTTGGAAAGGCCAGTCGCGCTGCTCACCAGGACCCAGGGCGCCCGGACGTGCCAGAAGGAAATGGAGCGATGAACCAAATTAATTTTTCATAATTTTATTATGATTTTTTAAATGGGCTTCTCTTGTGAATTTTTTTAAAAATCATATTGATTTTCCCTGGCTGGGTTTTTTCCAAAGTCTGAGCTTGGCAGCCGAGCCGGCTTCTGGGTCTGAATGAATTAGATGGAGATAGACGCTCGTGTCACTTTAAACGAGATCGAGGAGCAAGTGTGTGTGAGTCCATCGGAGGATGTACGAGCTGAATCTGGGCATCAGGGGAGGGTAGGAGAGGGCAGGATCGGGTGAGGGGGTTCAAGCACCCCACTGCCCTCCCTCGGCCAGGGATGGCTGGTCCCGACGGGGAGCCGGAAGGTGGGAGGTGAGAAGGCTCTGCCCCAGCGGGGCCGAGGTTGTGTAAGGCTTTCGCCTGTGTCCTCGGGCCAGGAAATCCCCTCCCGGTGACCTGGCCGGCGCCACTTTGCACATTCCCGGGAGAACGTGTGGCCTTTAGGGGCTTCCTTTCCTCTTCCGGCTTCCCACTGGTTTCCTGGCAACCAGATTGCTCCCGAACACGGTGGGCGGGGCGGCGGGGTGTGGCCCATGGAGTGTGGCCGCGGGCTCTGCACGGGCACTAGAATCTCCTGAAGACGCCCTGGGCCAGGACTGCAGAGTCTTCCGATGAGCAGATTTCCTGCAGGGCCGGGGTGTCTGGAACCGCAGCGAGGCTGAGCTAACTCTCCTCACCCGTATCTGAACCTGGAGCGTTTCCTCTGGGACCGTTTGAACAACTCACTGTGGCCACAGCGCCCCAACGGCGGCCCGGATGTGCACGTCTGTGCGCGCATCCCCGGAAACCCAGAGCGCTGTCCGACAACCAGAAAAGACTGAGACCGAGGCCGGAGGGGCGGTCCCGCAGGACGGGCAGAACCTCGGGGTGCTTTGGGAGAGGAGAGGCTGTCAGAAGCTCCAGAATTCGCTGGACAGGCCCGCCAGGCACAAAGAGAGCCCCCCTCTGTGAGTTACGTGCAAAGCAGTGGGTGGAGATGGGAGTGGTAGAATGGGGAGCAGGGAGAGAGAGACAACACATGGTTTAAAATCGACAAATATGTATCTCACCGTCCATGTCGGGCAGCACATTTAATTTATCACGGCATCCAGTCATTGATGTGACTGTCAAAAACCACACTGGGCTTGTGGCTGTGACGTGGTTAATAAAGCAGCAAACGGGCTCTCTCGTGTGACAGCTTCAATCAGTTAGCGATGGCCTGTGGTTCGGGGAGCCCCCAGGTTGGGCCGAGTTCAGGCAGAGGGCCGCCGTGGGTCAGCCCAGCCTGCCGCAGGGGGACCGGGTTCTGAGCAGATGACGGCCTTCGAACTCCGGGTCTTGCAGCTGCCTCCCAGGGTGAGGGAGGAGCAGGTGGGCCCGCACTGCCCTAACAGCTCCCTTTGTATCTATGCAAGTTATTAGAATTTTGCAGAAGAATTTCTCTGCTGAACCCCACAGTTTTAAAACCACTGCTGTCGTGGGCAAAGACTGGAGTTCTGGTTCTACGTTCATTTCTAACTTGGGACATCGGTTCGAGTCAGATATTTTGGCTTCCGTGAGTGTCCGTCACCAGAGGTCACCTAGGCCATTTGAAAAGTGGCACACTCACATCCTCGTCATGATCATGCGCCTCAATAGCCCTTCCTTGGCGGAGGCTCCCTAGAATGTCAGTGGTGAGCGGTTGTGGATTTTCTTCAGGTTGGTGATTTCTGAAGTCTAGGCATGCACCCTGAAATTACCGTTTTTCTCAAGAACCCACTCATGCCGTTTATTCCGAACAAAGGACGGCCGGTGCGCTTTGTCTCATTCAGTCACCTGTTAGTGACGTTCTGGTGGTTTGGGGAGCCTGTCGAGGCTCTGTGGGAAGTGGGGTCATCGATGGGTGGTGTCCGCCACGGGGGCGGGGCCAGGGGCGGCAGCACGGGGCCCTGCCAACCCCTACCCTGTTTGTAGGCCTGTGTCGTAGATGTGCGTTTCCACCCCACGTGATCCTTGTGCTCACGGAGTCCACTTGTCGTGCAGGACGGACTTTACCTGTTCTCTAACTACCTCTTCCAACTGCAGGCGTGTGTTCAGGGCCGAGCCGAGAATCACGCCTCAGTAACACGCCTCTCGTCTTCATCTCCCTAGACCGGTGTTCCTCTTCCCTCCCGCACTCGCCGGGCCGTGGAGAAACAGCTGAAAACTAGGGGCATGCGTATCGCCACCCCAACATTTAGCATGCAGAGGCAGGCTCGGCGGTGTCCTGGGGTCTCTCCCAGACGCCTGTCCGGACGAGAGCTCTGGCTCCAGACCTAAGGGCCTTTGGTCGCTTTCTGCTTTCTTTCACAGCTTTCAGCCACTCCGTTCGTTTTCCCAGGTTTCTCCCAACCCGTGTTATCTTTCTTGTGGTGAAAAACATCACCTTTTCATAGCAGGGCAGGGTGACAACGGTCCCCAGTTTTATCCGTGTCACCCCGTGGCACCTGGGAGAGCCACAGGTGGGAGGACAGGAGAGGACTGGAGCACCTTCCGAGGAACTCGCCCACGTCCTGGGTGTGTCCCCGCACCTGGGAGGGACGCGGCGGCTGTGTGGGGTCACACTGTGACCCCGGTTTGGCGGAGCACAGCTGCCCCGAATGGGCCTCTCTGTCCCCCGGCATTCAGCAGGTCCACTTTGTCCGCAGCACCGCCTGCTAGGTGGATGGACTTGCGGCATTGTCTTTCTCACGTTTCCTTGTCTGCTCAAAAATCTTCGATGGATTTTTGTGTCCTGACAAACACATAAACTCTCCTTTCTGATTTTCAAATAAGCTATGAGACATTCTGTTGGCACTGTGGTATTTAAAAAAAACAACCCAGCAACTAACAAAAATCGGCTGTGGTGCCCTGTAGGCCACTGAAATTTGTTCAATCCCTCTGAGCCTCAGTTTGCCTGGAACAAGTGGGGATGAACAATACTTATTTCATGCAGTTGTTGTGGGAATTAGAAGAGTTTGTGCATGTAACTTGCTTAGCACATTGCCTCGCACAGAGTTAATACTAAATAAATAGTAATATTGTTGCCATAATGAAAAACAAAGGTAATGATACATTTCTGAGTCTGAGGCTTTTGACCATGTGACTTGGGCTCATGACTCAAAGCGTGTTTCTTTTTTCACCTGAAAAATACGGGCAGGTCCTGAGTTGTGAGGCTGTTGTGAGGACGCGATGGTGCAAACGAAGGAACGATGCTCAGTTAACGCGGAGATCAGCCCGTGGTTTCTGCCTGCCCCCACCCTTGCTTCTCGTCCCACTGTGAACCCCGAGAGGGAACGCCAAAATGCCCTCTGCTCCGACAGCCCTGACACTGAGTCCGCCCTTGCTATGGGCTCTCTTCTCCCCTGGCAACACCTCCCTTCCAGCGACCCAGTTCTCCTCACTCTTAAAAACCCAAGACAAGTGCTGCTCTCCCCACGAAGTCGCTGCTGACCGCTTCTCTCGCCCCTGGCTTCCCTCTCCCCGAGCAAGGGCCACATCCCTTCACGTGCTTGCCACAGAGTTTAGCCACTGATTGCATTCCGTCTCGCTCACTGCAAAGAGGCCTGAGTCTCGTGTGTGTACGGTCTCAGACGTGGCGGTCAGTCGCGTGTCAGTTCATTGGAGAGTGAGAAAACCTTCCACAAGGTAAAAGGAAATCAAGTCGCCCTCTCCCCTTTTTGTTGCAGCGTTTCCGCCTGAACAAGGAATGGTCCACGTGACAGTGCAAGACTACATGAGGTAGGTGGCAGTGTCCGCGCCTCTTCCCTCCGGGGTTTTACGGCCACGTCTTTCTTTAATGAAGTCGCAGTGAAGGGGGTTTCTTAGTGACGACAGAGACCTTGGGATCTTGTCACTGGTTGAGCCACAGTGCCTAGAATGTTGTAGCCAGCCTTGAGAGAGAAACAGAGGTTCTTGACATGTCGTAAAGGCGTGAGCAAATTAAATCAACACATGCTGACTTGGGGGGATTTCATTAAGAGGTGCGTAAATGGCATTCTGCTATAACTCAGCTGTCTGTAAGGACCTGTTCATAGGACACTTGCGTTCATGTGTTCATATTGCCAGCATTATCAACCCCATGCTCTTTGCTGGACAGCAATATCTATAATTTTCAATGTGAGGCGGAAAGCAGTGAGAGTCCCTTAATTTGAGGAGAGACTAGGTCTCAAAGTGGTCCCAAACGACAGCATCCACGTCACCTGAGAACTTAGTAGAACAGATTTGATCCCCACTCCAGACACTTTGAATTGGAAAATCTAGGGCCAGAGTCCAGAAATGGGTGTTTTTGCAAGACCTTCAGAAGGCTCCGGGCACGCTCTGGTTTAAGGGCCCCTGAACTAGACCGTGAGCTTTTGGAGGTCAGGAGTTCTGCTTCCCACGCTTCAGCCGCTCTTGCCCTTTCGGGACAGTTCCAGTTAGTTGGAAACCAAATAATCAGCACTGTATCTCCCAGCCCCTACCAGTTCACACACAAAAAAATGCTACTTCATTCTAGTTTCCCCCCTTAAAGGATTAATTGTTTCTGCTGGTCAAAAAATCATAGGGCCATAGAGGATGACCGAGGCAGCTCATTTTGTTGAAGAGGAAACTGAGGGTCAAGGTCAGTGACTGGCTCATGCTCCTGTGGCTTGATTAGAACTGGGATGACAACTGGCTTCTCCTGGAGTCAAGGCCAGCCCAGTTTGGGGGAACTCTGCTGAACATCACAAAATAAGGTGTGCCCCTCCAGCCCCAAGTGAAACAGAATGATGGTGCGCCTCTCACAAACTGGGGTGAAGCCACAAACGGGAGGTCACCCCCTGCCGACCTTCATGGCTCCCCGAGAACCCAACTGTCTGTTGAAACAGAGTTCACAATTAGGAGACCTGCACTTCCTTGGCCTTAAGGCAGAGAAGCCACTGAACTAGGAGGCGGGGCCCAGCTGTTCTTACTGACAGCAAACTGGACCGGGGCGAATTCAGCTGCCCACCAGGACACCTTGGTGTCCTCTGGAGCACTGTTGTCTACACTGTGTTCCCTGATAAATTCCAATGCTGTGCCAACTGGCTGTTGTGTTTGATGAGGTGAGATGCAGCTCTGGTCTGTCTGAGCTCGCTGCAGGCCAACTGTATCATAACAGGGCTCCATTCCGTTTGGAAGCGCTTTCACAGGCCGTGCTGCACCAGCCTCTTCTGGGAGGGTGGCGCTGGGTTTTGCAGCAATGAAGGAGTTTGTTACCTGCTGTGTGTGGTTGGCCCAGGAGCCTGGGGCGTCACTCTGAGATTGCTAACCAGGCGCCGTGAAGTCCTTTGGGATGAGAACAATGAGGGTCACTTCAGTGGCTGCTCCCTGTACCTCTCTCATCACGTCATTTTACCTTCCTCCCGAAGGTCGGTGCCTAGCAAAGGTCATTCCTGAAAGGTTTCCCAGTGATCTGCCATTGGTCTAAAGCGAGACATTCTGTCACCTTCCTAGTGAGCACTAGCGGGCACCTAACACTTAAATTCTCACGCCTTCTGTAACACGACACTTGTGAAAAGAGGAGCAGCTCTGCCTCCGCGTGCTCTCCCATCTTCAGAGCCCTGGCTATCACAGGGTCGTTAGGAATGACGAGGACACACAGAGCTGCTCTGGAAGGGAAATACTCGCAGTGGCCTCCAGGGGGCTGTCTAAGCGGACACATCTCCTCTGTCTCCACCTTCCCGCCCCTCCTCCCCCACTGTAGATCTCTGCACCAGTTTCCAGAAACTCCCACCCTATCCAGAGGGACCAGTTTCAACTCGTGCTATTCTGCAGCAAGTATACCACAAAGGTATGTGATTTCCAGGCACTGTGAGCCCAGGAAAACCACTCTGTGCGGCAGTGGGTTTCGTGAAATTGTGAGTAGGCGCCTGAGAAACACGTGAATGGATGGATGAGAGAATGAATCGGGATTTCTAAACTCCAGCTTGCAAGGAGAGTGTAAAAGGGTCAGTTAAACCAGCTGATTATACGTCAGTGAGGAAATGGTCATGTATATTATTGGCTCCCACTTTATGGAATTCCATAGAGTGACAAAAGGAACAGGTAGTTATATGCATAATAACTTATGATTTTCAAGTCATATGTTCAGGAGAAAAAAGCAAGATGCCAGAAGCTCTGTAGAGTATGTTACTATTTATAAAGAAAACGTGCAAACTGTGAAGCATGTATGTAACTACCTAGAAAAATGTCTGTAAAAATGCCCATGTGTATACATTTAGCAGGAATGGAGGTTAGAAGTGGGAGGGGTGATGGCCAAGGGGACAGAGATCCTTGTATGTAATATAATTTTTATACAAAGGTGAGTGCATTTTATGTTGAGGTGACTAGAAAAAAGTGGCTTTTGGTTAAGTGAACTGTTAATGGATGTATTCATTTTCTTGTAAAATTAAATATAAGTGAAAATAGTTAATGGCACTGAAAATAGGTTTAATGACAAATCAGTCAATAATTACACTCTTTTTTTAAAGATTTTATTTATTTATTTTTAGAGAGGGAAGGGAGGGAGAAAGAGAGAGAGAGAGAGAGAGAGGGAGAAACATCAATGTGTGGTTGCTGGGGGCTGTGGCCTGCAACCCAGGTATGTGGCCTGACTGGGAATCGAACCTGCGACACTTTGGTTCGCAGCCCATGCTCAATCCACTGAGCTATGCCAGCCAGGGCTCAATAATTACACTCTTGGCCATGAGACTGTGAGCCTTCGGAAGGCAGGGCTCTGCATTTGCTGCTTTGTGTGCCTTGGGTGCCTCGCAGAGAGCCTGGATTCTGATAGATGTTTGATAAATACTTGTGTCAGCGGATGAGGAGGAAATTTGTAGAACAAGGTAAAAAAGACAACAGGTTAAATCTTCCATGCACAATATATTCAATAGACTTCTTGCAAGAATTTTTCCCCCTTGAACCTGTTCTATGTGACGGTGTCAGGTGATTGCCATCCCCAGCTCCCCGGTCCTTTCCAAAGATAAGACATCCATGCCAAGCATCGAAGGCCCACAGTGAGGCTCATGGCTGATCTGCTCTGCAGTGGTCTAATCGAGAGCAAAGCCCCAGACCCCCATGGCTCATTAGAGAGTGTCAAAGGGGTGTTGGGGGGTGCCTGGTAAGTGGGCTGCCTGGTGAGACTCTAGACGGCTGTTGTTGAATGTGTGACTGGGTAAATAAGTGAATTGTAGCTAATTCGATTTAAACAGTGGAGTCATGAAAGTAAGTGTGCAAACCACTGGGGTATCTCAGACGAGCTCCCCAGTGTCGCATGTCAAGTAAAGGCCAACAAACTTCAACAAAAGAAAGTAGCAAACCTAGAAAAACCCCGTGAAAAGTTCTGATTCCCACAGAGCCCGTGAGTTTTCCACATTCAGGAGCACAGCCGCTGAGAGGTGCAGTAATTAGGAAGTGAGTTTGCATCCATAATTTCCCAATAACTGAAGGTTATCATTTTAAGTGCCAAAGCTGAATCAAAACAATTCGATGAAAGCACTTCTGTTTCTTACTCAAGTCCAAAACTACACAGACCGTATTTTAACCCAACCTACAGACCTAAAATTACTGTTTCGAAACATCACTCCTGGTAGCCTGTCTGCATATCCTCAACAAGGTTGTGTGGCTGGGGATGCCCCAGCCTGACACTGTTTAGAAATAGTCTTCTTGGAGTCCACGGTTTCAGGGTTTTTCCCCTGTTTTATATTGCCATCAACTACAATATGTGGTTTTCAGTGCAGTGCCCTAGCTTCTGCCCTACCATCCCCTTGCCCTGTTGCATTTAACGTTTGCCTGTTGTACAATGGTAAGCCACACCAGCGAAGTCGTGGGAATTGCATGTGAGGTATGGCAAGCAGTCCCTCAGCGGGGGTGATGGGCCGTCCTTTAAGTCTGTACATCTGAGCTCTAGGAAATGCACCATCTGTCTGTTCAGATTTCTCTTTCACTCAATTTCTAGCAGATTGGGGTGTTGAAGTGACTAGGAAAAAATGGTTGTTGGTAAGTGAACTGTCACTGGATAGAGATATTCCAGTTTTTTTTACTGCAGCATTCCTGAATGGCTGGAACTCTGGGAAAACGATCCAGTGGAGATTCTCTTGGATCTGGGGTTTGGTACCGATGAGCCCGACATCTGCACACAGATTCCAGCCAGATTCCTGGTCTGTGGCTCAGCAGCCAGAGGAATCAACATCCGGGTTTTCCTTGAAGCTCAAAAGCAGCGCATGGACATTGAGAACCCTAACTTGTATGGTAAGTGAGGACCACGTGGCTTCCGAATCTTAGCCGTGGCCATTGTTACCAAGCCAGGGCTGGTTGCCCAATAGAAGCCAATACTACTGCACTGGCTTTATAAAAAGAAATAACTGTATTGTGAGAACAACCAACAGGGAGACAAGAGGCAGAGCTCAAATCTGTCTTCTGATCCAGGGTTCAAAGAGAGGTTGAAGGGGCCGAGGGGAAAATGCTGGTATGCGAACGCACTGGGAGGGCAAGTCTCCACGGGGGGGCTTTGGGACTTGGCCGTGCACGGTAAGCTGCGGCGAAGGCCTTCAGCATCCAACCTTCCTAGACAACGGACCGTTCGCTTGTGAGAAGATTCTGGCATTCAGTGTCCAGCTGTGTCCCAGTCCTTTGGTTCCACGGGATGGGGAGACTTTGGTTCTGGGTGTTATTGAAGTCACAGTTCTCTCCTCTGTGCATGCTTTGGCCAAATGCTCTTTTCTTCTGTTGTGCCTGAAAAGCAGCCCAGTAACTCATTGGAGATGGAGTAAGACCACTTTCCGCTGGTTCTGTAGTGGCACTGTGAGCGGTGAGATGAGCCGCAGTACGAGCAGGATGGTCTGGGAGATGCACACAGTGGCAATCGGCCTCTCTGTCGGGCTTAGCATAGTTTATATACTAACCACTCTGCATGCCCGCTGCAGGCTGCTGCATGTGTTGGGGGAAGGGAGATGTGTTCCATGTTGTCTTTATTCATGAACTTGGCCCCACCACGTGGAATATCACTGGTTGCAATGAAAGAGAAAAGGTGGAAATGGAGAGCTTTACTTGATTCTTACATCCTTCTGCTCAGAGTATGCACATACCAGGGCTGCTCAGATTTCGTTGTCCAAAGTATGTCACATGGCCACACTGAACTCCAAATGGGTGAGAAGGAGCAATCCTACCATATGCCCAGAAGGAAGAAGGTGGGCAATACCACTTAACAGCACTAATGTATGCTGTAGGCCCTTGCGCAGGAGGCAGGACACCGGGATCTGACAAGGCTTGTCATGAGTCAGTGGGTGAAACCTTAGTTTCCTCATCTATGAGGCTAGAACACCACTTAGTCCACCATGAGCTCTAAGTGATGGTTGGTAACCGGTCAAATCTCCATGGTGATGGTCATGCCTGCTCTTTTCCTCTAACCGGTAGTTAATGGAAAACTCTTTTCTAGAACATTCCTGAGGATGTTCTGGGGGTATGTGTCCTGTGCCTAAATACTCGGGGGGAGAGACGCCTTGCAGTTAAACAGGTTTATGTATTACAGGGTTTGGGTGACTCGGTGCGGTGCACTCGCAGGCTCGGGGCAGCATTTGCAAAAGCACTGAAATCCGACGCCCCCTCGGAGGAGCGAGGAAGAGCATCTCCTCCCAGGGGTGGGTTCTGCAGAATGTGGGGCTGGAGAAAATGCCCAAATCCGGCTTCTGAAATAAGTTCTTTTACATAAATGAATTCTCTGAAAGGAACGTGAGATAAAGTGTTTCTCTCAAACAAATCTCTTAGATTATTCACTTTAGTTTCTGTTTCCCCTGTCTTCCTCTGGGAGAAGTGCATCTCAAAAATCTCAGCAGTAAGATTTTCAAAAGAGCATGTAAACCTGAAGGTGCTACAATTAGTGTTTTGGTTTCATGTGGTGTCTTTTTACCTTTTAGAAGAAATTAATGTCATTCACTGTTGTCTTCTCCTCCAAGTCACAAGGAGATGCCCAGTTCTTAGATCGATTTTTTATTTGGGGGGCATAGTAACACTTACCAATATCTGAGGAGTGTTTGAGCCAATCTGTAAAGCCAGCATTTTACAGATAAAGTTGACACGTGGGTCACAGAGGAGCCAGGGGTTGGCCCCTGGACAACAATGGTTCGCCCACTCTTGTTCCCAGCATTTAACGCTTTAACAGTGCGGTGTAACTATCCTCATTCGACTTTTACCGGTAGCTACAGTTTGGATTCAAGAAAGCTGAGAAGGTCAAATGTAAAATGAAGAGTAATAGAGGTGGCTGGTTTTTCTCAAGACAGAAGAGAAAAGTACATGTCATTCAAATCAATACAAAAGATTTACACTTGGGATGAGAATCAATTTGTTCCTTGTTCCACCTGCCCAAAGGCAGAACAAGCAAAACCCACTCATCCAACATGCCATGCTACTGTGCTCTCTGAATTGACTGAACCGATTAAATGGATAGGTTTTTGTCTTAGTCGAAGTATAAAAATCTGCTGTAAGATGGATGTTAACACAATCATAAAAGTGGAATTAGGATTCAGTTGTCCCCATGGGCTGCCAAAAGAGATTTAGTTTCAACTAAAGATGAATTTAGGGGTGAAATGTAGCTAGAATGCTTCTGAAAACATTCAGAACTTGAGATTTCCCCTAGGCCTTGAAGGAATGTTGTGGTTCTCTAGGAGAAGCCCCGCCCCGTTTTTGGAGTAGAAGGATGAACAGTCAATACCTTCCTCTTTCAGGTGAAGGAAACAGGCACAAAGATGTGGTCACGGAAGAGTCAGTAGCCTTGCCGTGAGGGTGCGCACAACAGAACAGCATCCTCACCTACCCCCTGTGGCTTTCGCCGCTGCTGAACTGGGCCACCCCACATGCGAACACAGGGTTGACAGAAGGTGGCGTCCTAAAAACAGAGTGTTCTGTTCCCATTACCATTGGTTTTTGGTATCTGATGGTACCAAAATACTAAAAGCATTTCTCACCATTTTTTCAAAGGGGTTATGTGTCCTGAAATCAGCCCTTGTTGCATTAGATCTCTCCCATGTGTGAACTAGATCAGTACTTGCATATTGCCTAAATAATTGACGCCAGATCATCCATAAAGATTTACAAGTTCAGGAGCTGGTCTATTTGGAAAAACAATTGGGTTTTCACATTAATGACTGTCTTTTCTTGAAATACTGGGGACCGTATATTTCCTTCCAGTGTCTTGCACATTTATAATTTTAACAACTGTTATTGATATTAACATTATGCTTTTAATGACACATGGGAGAGATAAAGACAGGTATTATTACCCCCATTCTCTAGGTGAAGAAACTGACCACTTACTGTGTGCCTGGCACAGGGCTAAGCAGTACACACCTACTAATTCACTTACTTGGCGACTAGTTCACTAACTTTGAGGTCACACTTGCAGTGATTGGTGGACCTGGAATTTGGATCCGGGCCTCCGACTCCATCTGCCATGTTTGTCCACGCTCTCAGGTGACAATAGATGGAGAGAGTGAAGGTGAGGGTGAGGATCGTCTGCCAAACGTGGTGGAAGAAACTCAAGGTCACCTTGTATGAAAGAGCTGGGTTCATTTTCTGACATTTAGTTTAATTCACAAGATTAAACTCAAAATATATCCTTGCCTGTCAATTTTATGGATCTACATACAATTAACTATTGGCATATATGAACCTATCTAGTTATGCATGTACAATGAAATATAAAAAGTACTCACTTTCCCATGACACAGGCATGTCTCTTTATGTAGGGGGATCACCTTCATAATAATTAGTAGCATGGATGGAGAAAAATGCTTTCAGGAGCTTAAAATCCTTCCCATCTTGAAAAATCACATGTTAACCAACCTTTCCAGTATTGACTACCTTCATGCAATTTCTTTAAAAAGACCCAATCTAAAAATTGTGTGTTTTTTATATTGTCCAGGCCGGTTCCGACAGCTGGAAATCCTGGACCACGTGGCCAATGCCTTCTCATCTTTGCTGGATGAGGTCAACACTCTGCAGAGCAAAGCTGAGGAGAGGGATGAGGAGGACAGTGTGCAAAGAACCTCCGTGGGTGGAGCCGAAGAACATCAGAGAAGAGTGGGTGAACTTCTCAGGAAAGCCTCAAAGCAGAACACCAGGGGAGACTGTAGTTCCAAAGTGCCAGAGTCACTGAAGAACAGGGAAGAGTTTTCCATCCCCTCTGCACAACCAGGGGCACGTGCAGCACAGTTACCAGCCATGACAGACAGCCACGACCACAGCCCTTTGCCTTCTTCGGCCGAGCATTGGTCTCTCCAAGCCTGTGATGACTTCACACCTTGTCGTCCTCCCCGAGCTCTTCTGAAAAAGTGGTGGCCTTCCACACCCATGCTAGCCAGGCAGGCTCCTGCTTCCTGCGTGTCTGAGGGGTCAGTCAAGGACAGGACACTGAAAGAAAACTGGATTCAGACTAATAAGCTCAGGAGCTTCTCCGGTGTGAGCAGAGCGCCAGACTCCTTCGAAATGGAGGAGGTCAGTGTTGCTCCTCTATGCTCAGCTGCAGAGGGAGGGAGTCACGGCATCCTGTGCCCTCCTTTAACCCCTTCGGCAGGATGTCTTATTGTTCCAAACTCCTGCCCAGTCTAGGACACTTAAGGTCATTCTAATTGTTTCAGTTGGAACTAAATGAGTGTGAAACCAGCCTTTGCTGGTGCTCACTGATGTATTATGCATCTCAGGATGCTTTTCCCTTCTCTGACTTTCCATATTTCACCTTCCTCGAGGGTCAGTTCAACCACTCCCCACTCAGAGCAATTCTTCCTCTGTGTTCTCACAGCCTAGGCAGCGAGAGCTTGCTGCAGAAGAGACTGTGTGTGCTGTCAATGGCATCACCCCCACTGGCTCCTAGGGGACCAGGTTTTGTCATTAAGGGGATCTGTCTTAGAAATACTTCCCCATGATGACTAATGTAGGGCCTGGGACAGAGAAGTAGGTAGCCAGGGCTCAGTTCTTCATTTCAATGTCTCTGGATCTATTTTGCATGCTTGTTTGTTTTGTTGATTAGGTTCCACTTATAGATGAGATCATATGGTATTTGTCTTTCACTGCCTGGCTTATTTCACTTAACATAATGCTCTCCAGTTCCATCCATGTTGTCACAAAGGGTAGGAGCTCCTTCTTTCTGCTGCATAGAATTCCATTGTGTAAATGTACCACAGTTTTTTGATCCATTCATTTACTGATGGGCACTTAGGTTGCTTCCAACACTTGGCTATTGTAAATTGTGCTGCTATGAACATTGGGGTGCATAGGTTCTTTTGAATTGGTGTTTCAGGATTCTTAGGGTATAATCCCAGCAGTGGAATTGCTGGCTCAAAAGGCAGATCCATTTTTAGTTTTCTGAGGAAATTCCATGCTGTTTTTTACAGTGGCTGCACCAGACCACATTCCCACCAGCAGTGCGCTAGGGTTCCCTTTTCTATTCTTTAATGTAAGTACAAAGAAAGTGCAGAAGAGCAAGGTCCCCTCCTTTTTCATGTCAAATTACTCAAAAGTGGAGCAGAGTATTTATATGTGAATCCCACGGATGGGGTCTGGCCACCTCTCCTTTGAGCCCTCTCCTGAGAGGCCCTCTGATAGGCTCAGGAGCAGGGAGACTCTGCCGTGCAGGGGACCACAGTGCAGTGGCGGAGGGGCACAGGAACCGAGAGCAGGGCAGAGACAGAGACAGGGCTACTGATGAGCTTTCATGTCACTACAGGGGCACGCCTGGGACATCTGGGGAGCATGGAAAGGGTTCTTCACCAGCCAGGAAGCTGAGTGGATCAAGGAATTTGTAGGAAGGAAGCCTTAACTATGACACTTTTGTTGTCTGGGCCACACACTAAGTATATTGCGACACAAAATCACACACACACACACACACACACAAAATCTCGTAATGTTTTCCGTAAGTTTACGATTTTATGGTGGACTAATTTTGTAGCCATCCTGGGCTGTGTGTGACCCACAGGATGCAGGCTGGACACGCCTGCAAAGAAGAATATGATTTAGCTGAATATGCCTATTGGCAGCCCTGCACATCCCACAAAGGTATGAAAACTACTTCAAAATATGTAGTTATTCATATCTTAATGTCTATACATATACACTTATGTATACCTATGTTTGTACCAAATGTTATTTCAAGAACCTTAAAACACTAATCGGAATTTAAAACAGTAGCCTAAAAACGAACAAAAACTATAAATGGAGAAATAGCAGACTTTTGGTCAAGTGCCCTGATTCAGAGATAAGCAGATGGCACTAAAAAAGAGTATTTTTAGTTTGGTCTTGCAAAGATTATTTAATTTCCAAGTTAATAGCTAAATCACTATAAAGAATATTGAGAACATCTGCAGCTCGTTAGTTAGTCTGCTCTATGACCTACCGGACAAGAACCTCCACCGAACCCCAGCCCGTGGCAAGCCTCTCTACCCGGGCTAAGTTTCTCCTGCTTCCAACTAGACCGACTCAGAGGAAAACAACTTCGATGGGATGCCATCTACATGTAAGCCTACAGGGCGAGAGAAATATATTCGGCACAAAGAACTGGGAAGAAAATGTCAGTCTGTGTATGGTACACTCTCAAATATTCTTAAATGGCAGCGAGTCGAGGAAAGGCTGTGTATTAGTGTGTGCAGGGGTGGGAAAAAAGAACACACTCAGAGGCTGAAATGTAGGAAAACAAACTCACGTGGGCTTTGGCACGTAGTAGGTATGCAGCAAATATTTATGAATGAGTAAATTAAAACTATTTGATAATATCAATTTATTCTTTGGGTGGCTTCCAAGGAAAACAGAATATTCTGTTGAACTTCCTGGTTAACTGGGTTTATGGTGTTTCTTTAACATTTGCCCAAATTTGCATGTGAGAGAGGCTGTGTGGACAGCATAAGGCAGACGGAGCCCTCAAAACCATACGAAAGAATCTCACTACTTGCATTTTGCTTTTCTAAAAAGTGTATTTAACATATTACCTCCCCATCCTATAGGTTGCAGGGAAATACTTGTTTCATGCGATATCCTTGAATAAGTAAATGAAGGTTGGGTAGGTTGTGTCTTAAACAGGAGCAAGTGCCAGATGTAACAGCCATTCTTCAACATCAGATTTAAAGATACAGTTATAGGAAGTAAAAAGTACATGTGAAATGAACAGATTTTCATGGCATTTAAAAAATAAGCCAATCAGAATTTCAGCTATGATTAACCAGATTTGGCCTTCAGATCAATGTATGGTATTTTCCCTTATGGTCTGCTAAAAGCCGATTATGGCAATATTTTTGGCTTCTCAAAAATCACAAGTCCAACAAAATTGCATGTGAATTTTTAATGTAAATATCAATATGTTTTTTATTTAATTGTACTTACTAAAACTGAGTCTTTCCTAATTCCCAAATATATTAAGAGAATTTAATTTTTATAAAACTCTAGACATAAGGTAGGGCGCTTCTTTATATCCACAGTAAAGCACCTGAATCCTTCTTCTCACTTGCACACAGAGGCCCTGCTCGAGACTTTGTATGTAAGAGTGTTACCCACATTGTTAAACAATACCGACCGTCATCTTCACTCGGTGGGAAATGCTTCAAAAGTTATAACTATTTCTTTACTTAAAATTTCTTTTTAACTTACTAAGTTTGGCTAGGGCAGAATGACCAGAAATATACCTGGCTTCCATTTTAAATTACTGAGACTTTTTTGGGTTTTGTTCTTTGCTGAACACACACACACACACTTTACATTGCATTCAGTAGACTTTTCTCCATGATAAGGCCACAGCAAAATAATTTTCTGATTACACTTGAAGTGGAAGTATGTCTAGTTAATTACAAGTATAAAGTAACTTCTTTTGAGGAAAAGAAATAAACAATTAAAAAGAGAAATAAATATTTCTCTTTACATTGCTGAGGCACCTCAAGGTCCCCTGTTTATTCCCGGGTTAAAGGTCATTTTTGGCCAAATGTACCACAGTGTTTAAGATATTAATGTTCTCTGACTCAGATTCCAATATTCAGACATCAATCCCCAATAAATAATACGACATGTAGAAATAGATTCACCTCAGCATTATTTCTAATTGCAAAATTTAGAAAACATTCCAACATTAGGAAAATCATTAAGTAAATTAATGCACCTTTAAATATGGCTTATTGTGCAGTCATGAAAGATGGTGTTTTTCAAAAAATCGATGTCAGAAAAGAATTCCTCCTTCAAATTTTGAGTGAAAAAGTTGACTGTGTAACTATATCCAGAATAAATGTGTTATAAAAAAAACCTGCACAGGCACACTCTAAAATATTAATAGCAACTGTTTTCATACATGTTCTGTCTATATTTGTTATGGTTCTATAATAAGCAACATTATTATTTAAAAATATTTTCTTTGAACAATAATTTTATTCTCATTACTGGAGTAGTATTTATTAATTTATTAAAAGAATTTTAAGAATAAATTCTTTATCAATTTGGAAATCAATTTTCCTTTGAGCTGTCTAAGCTTTATATAGCAACTCAGTCATGAATTTTCTGAACTGCTCTCCATAAATTTATCAAGTCATAAATATATCCCTTAGAGAGCCAAAATTAAATATGAGAAATAATTTGCTTTCCCCAAATATAGGTAAAGCTATTTGGGAGGGAACATCCATAATCCTAATAATAATAATAATAATAATGTTATTGAAGTTGGTTCACATGCCCCGTGTTTCAGGCAGGCCTCTGCCCCTCCCACCAGAGTGGCCGTCCCCTTTGCCCCTCCTGAGCTCCTGTAGTGCTTTGTGTCCTTGTGTTCAGTACCTTGTCCACACCCTGACTTCAGCAGACGGGAAGCTGTTGGCATTCAGAAGTCATGTTCCATCCCTGTAGCAGTAGCCAGTAGACACTCACTGTGTGTTGACTGATTAAATGAAGTGGATTTATTGTGAAAGCATTACTGACGAGATGGGTGCATTTTGGTGTCTCAGGTCCAGAGCTTTGAAGAGGAGAGTGGGAATCCCCCCGACCTGACTTCAGGAACTGCAGGTAAGAACGCCTCCAGGTGTGCAGTTTCATCAATGGTCTTTCAGAAACAGAATGTAAGTAACTGCTGCTCAACTTTCTTAAGATGTAGAACTGAAAGTGTTGCCAGGCAATGCCATACCTGTTACTCCTACTATCTACTGCAACTTCCTTTTCTATCTACTAGTATTAAAAACTTATTAGCAATGCAAATGTATGTGCAAATTTCAAAATGCTACAGAAATGTTTAGTATGAGTGGTGCTCATTTAGTCTGGCGTTTCTACCATTAACTCAGTATGAGCTGGCTGGGACAGTGGCGTGGGTTTCACACAGGGCTGGGATTGACGGTGTGAATACCTTCCTACTTCTCCTGCCAACTGCTTGATGTTGTACAAGTCATATGGTGTAACTGGGCCTCAGTTTGGGTTTTTTTTCCTACCTGTTACAAAGAGTTAAGTACAGTTCATTTTTCCTCTGCCAACACATATCCTAAATTAAGTGATTGTATGACCTTCACATGAAATGCTCAGGGGAAGCAAGAGGCCTAGATGTAGTTTTCCAGATGATCTCTTAGAATAATCTTGTATTGTCCCGGACAACAGAGAAGAGAGCCCTTCTCTACTTCTGGTGCTTATGCTCTTGTTCAGCCATCATTGTGACTCAGCATTTCCATAATTCTATAGCAGAGCTAAAAGTAGACATGGATTAGTGAAGCAAAATAAAATAGATGAAGCTAGTGTCTTTTCTGGAAGAAACTATGCTAACTTTAATTTAATTTAATGTGATGTCAAACACATCTTTTTCATTACAAAGTGTCTGTGTGGGCCTCATTTTGCTAAATGCTGTTTAGAAATTATGCCTTAGTAATTACAGGGTCCTTCTGATTACATAAATTGTTATCCAGCTCTCCGAAGTAATTACCACATAACCTGCATTGAGGTTTATGAGATAAAAATAAGCATCGGTTTTCCATCTAATTGAATGCCCTCAATGAAGCCGGAGGCCCCCTGCCAATAGGAGCTGCCTTTGTTGCCATTCAATTAAGAGGTCCGTTGGTATCACACAAGCCACCCCAATCATTCCAAAACATGATTTGGGAAGTTAGGCAAAAGCACTAACCTACATTTAATCTCAAATTTGGAGAGCAAAGCAACATGAGTGAAGACTAGCCCAGTGGAGAAAATCTGAATTACAGTTAAGACAAATGTGAGTTCGTTACTTTCACAAGCAATGTTGTTAACCCAAGAACAACAAAAAAGTAGGACTGAGAGGAAAGAAGTAAGTAAAACGAGTTCAACTAATGGAGAAGGGGGAAATTATTACTTTGCTACATGTGGGAATGTATTACATAACTATATTAATGAGTTTTTAACTCATGTGTATATATGAATGAATTTTTTTACTCAAAATTTTAAAAAGTGACTTCATTCAAAAGATGAAGGCACGTGAACTGTTTTGACCAATAGGAGGCCATGGCAGAAGTGATTCTGTGCTACTTCTGGACCAGGGTCTTCAACCTACCTGGCTGCTTCCTGGGTCTTGAGGTCCTTACTCTTGGAATATTCTCTCTGGGAACTCAGCCTTTGTGTTGTAAAAAGAAAAACAACCCCACACCCTATGTGGATGCTGCATGTAGACACTCTGGTGAACAGCCTTGAACAGCTCTAAGACCAGGTTAAAAAGTTAAGTTACATTGAAAAAATTATGTGAGTTCCAGGGACCTGTGAGACAATATCAGAAGGTCAAATATACATGCAACTGTAGTCAGAAAAAGGAAGGAGAGAAAGAATTGAGCAGGAAAAAAATGTGAAGAAATAATGGTGGAAAGTTTTCCAAATTCCCTCGAAGATTTATATTTATATATTTAAGAAGCCCAGTAAGTCCAAGTAGGACAAATACACAGAAAACTACACTTAAATGATATTATGATCGAACTGAAAAGTGTCAAAGAGAGAGAGAAAATATTCAAAGCAAATGCAGAAAAATGCAATACTGCATGCCAGGAAATAAAGATTTGAGTGACGGAAGACTTCTTCTCACTAGAAACAGCCAGAAGACAGTGAACCAGATTCTACATGCAGCAAAGGTGCCCTTCGAGAGTGAATGTAAAATAAAGACATTCCCAGGTAAAAGAAAGCAAGATACCGTCATCAGCATACCTGCACTGCAAGCAATGCTAGAGGGAGTTCTTCAGACTAAATGTGGACGGGAATCATGGTGTTTTCACCGTAGGTCAGTGTGACGCCTGTGACAGTTATAGCACGGGGTATGGGGCGGTTGCCTGACGGACCAACACAGTTCCAAGGTGACATTATTATATCAAGTGGCACAGTATTCAATTTAAGCAAATTGTGAAAGAGTAAGGATACAAAGCAACCACTGAAAATATTACACAAGTATACTAAAATCCTGAAAGAGAAATTAAAATATAATTCAAAAAATACAGTGATGACAGTAGATGACAGGTTGATTACTCAGGAGAATAACTGGATTGTGAAGGTAGGAGACATGTGAGAAGTTATTTAAGAACTGAGTGAGAAGAGAAATGAATACAACAAGGACAATGTCAAGGAAGACAGATCCAAAGAATATTACATCGATGTAACAGGTGGCTATGGTTAGATTCTTCACGTCTTTGGTTTGACTGAGGTTCTAAAAAAGATTGATATGGATACAAAGCTGATGTGTTAACAAACCCGTATGTGCAGCTTTCCCAGGGAAACTGTAGGACCCAGTCCCACAAGCCTTGAATCTTTCAGCCCCTGGTGTGCATTAAGCGGAGACACACTGCAGGGAGACAGAAAAGACTGAAGACGCTAGTTCATGGGCAAATTCGAATGCCCATCTGTCCTCCCATTCCAGCATCTGGAGGAGAATTGGGGGTGCTAACTTTTAAGCCTGAGAAGGAAGAGGCCTCCAGGAGACTGACCACCTCCAGAGCCACTTCATTACATTCAACAAAAGCAGTCCCAGAGTGGCAGGCCCTATTCTGGGTGCTTCATAGGCATTGTGTCATTGAACCCTCAAAATAACACTGGAGGTAGGCGCTATTGTTATCCCTAGTTATTAGATGACTCAGCTGAAGCAGAGGGAGGTTCAATACTTTCCATGGCCTCGGAGGTAGTAAAAAGTGGTTCCAGGTTTCAAATTCGGGCCGTCTAGCACCAGAGTCTGCTCGCTTAAACGTGGCACGTGCACCTTTGGAGGACCCCCATGATGCTGGAAGGCACCCGGCCCAGGCATGAGGATAATAATACGGACTGTGGAATGGGGTGTGACTCCAGGTTGACAGCTTCTCAAGAACAGGTCAGGATGGCAAGAGAAGAGTTGACCACCGAGTTTCATAAGTGCGAAGGTGACCAGATACAGTTAGCCCTGACTGGCGTGGCTCCCGTGATCGGAGCATCGTCCCATGCACCAAAAGGTTGCGCTTTTGATTCCCAGTCAGGGCACAGGTTGCAGGTTGAATTCCCAGTTGCGGCATGAAAAGAAATGTCCTCAAGTGAGGATTAAAAAGATGCAGTTGATGACAGGTCAGTGTTTAGTTGGCAGAAGTTTTTTTTTTCCTAGGGGTACGTAAATGCTGGGAATCTTAACATTAATGGTATCTAATACCGTCGGATGGCAGTGGACACGAAGAGAAGGAAACACCATCTGAGGAAACCATGGAAACCGCAGACCCTGCAGTGAGTCATATACACACAGTATCCATAACCTTGCATAGGTTGTGGATTGGTTTCCAGTTTTGAGAATCAACAAATAGACAAACAGGAGACTTAATTCTGGTCATAAGACAAATTGGAAATACCAAACTGGACATTTTGAAGTCAGAGATGCCGTTGTTGAGAAGTAGTAGATGGAAAGTCTGAAGAAAGGGTAGAGGAAAGGGTGTAAAAATCAATGCGGACATTATTTTGAAAAAAAATAAGGCATTTTTATATATTGATATGGAAAGGTCTCAGGAATATACAGTGTTGAAGGAAGAAAGGTATGTGCAAAAGATGCTGCGTAGACATCTCTGAATTAAAAGAGTGTATCTGTTTCTGCTGCGGGGGAAAGTGTGCATGGGATGCTTCTGGAAGACTAAATGAAGAACTGTTAATGGCTATACCTTAACAGAAGGAAACTAACATGTTTTAAATTAATTGGCATCTTTTACTTTTCTTTTGTTACCATGTGCATATGTTATTTTCATAACACCATTTAGCAAAAAATCCTGGCAATACTATAGGAAATTAACATAATAAAAATGGGAGATTTTGTCATTGTTAATTGATTGCCCCATTCCCCATAACAACCAGTCCAAATATTTGTGCTTGTGTTATTTTTTTTATTTTTTTAAAGATTTTATTTATTTATTTTTAGAGAGGGAAGGAAGGGGGAGAGAGAGAGAGAGAGAGAGAGAAACATCAATGTGCGGTTGCTGGGGGTCATGGCCTGCAACCCAGGCATGTGCCCTGACTGGGAATCGAACCTGCGACACTTCGGTTCACAGCCCACGCTCAATCCACTGAGCTACGCCAGCCAGGGCTATTTTTTAATTTTAAAAAAATTTTAGTGAAACTGATATGTATTTGAGGTATACAAATGATGATTTGATGTACATATACTCAGTGAAATAATTACCATAGTGAAGCTAATTAACATGTCCCCTCTTCACCTAGTGACCTTTTTCGTGTATGTGATGAGTGAACCTGAAATCTCTCTTGCAAATTTCCAGTATTTAATGCAGTGCTGGTGGCTCTAACAGTTTTGCTGCCCCTTAGATCTCCAGACTGGCTCATCCTGCATCACTGCCCTGGGACCAGTGTCTTCCCTCAGACTGAGAGACTTTAGTATTCCTCTCCTCTTTCACAGGTCCAACAGGAAGTAATGAAAGGTGCTAGAAAAGATACTATCATAATTGATAATATGCACTTAATAGAAAGATATTGAAGTAAGGATTCTTTGACAGTGTTCTTTAAATACTTATGAAAATATTTAGCAATTTGTGGTTAATGCAAAGATTATTTTTTGATTTCTT